TTTTTACTGCCCTCCCCAGCCCCCAGGAGCTCTCTGAAAACCTCCATAAGGGTATGCAGGGCCATTTTGGTGAAGGGGATGGGGTTTCTGGAGGCAAAAAAAATGCTGTATTCAATGTATAAGACGCACCCAGATTTTCAGCCTCTTTTTTGAGAGAAAAAGGTACCTCTTATACCCCAAAAAACACGGTAAGTAATCAGTAATATAAAGTAATATAGTAATATAAATAAAAAGAACCCAATAGGAAAAGGAGCCGAGGTGGGTTCCTACTGGTTCGGACCAGTTCTCCCAAACCAGTAGTGTTGCCTTCAAACCGAGAGCGAACCAGTTCTCTGTTTGTTTAAAAGGTGACTCTGCCTGACCCTGAGTAATACTTATCTTTATTCCAGTTTATGAAGCCCAGCTTATCTGGGGCAGCAGCTTGAATTGCTGCTTCCCAGCTGTTTTCCTTTTTTTCTGACTAATTTTCATTCAATTGTGCATGAGTGCGTGGCAAAGTGCGCGCTCAGCAAACTGGTTGTAAACCGGTTAGGAACCCACCACTGAAAAGGAGTACTAGGGAGAAACAAGGAATCAAATTCCACATTACCACATTGGTTATTGAAAACTAATTTAAAAACTCCCTTTTACGACCCTGTTATCCTTTAATTCGGAGTAAAATTGGGGCGACTGGGTGGACTGAGCATTTACTGGCTGGATGCCCTTCCTGACACCACACTGAGTTCACAGCAGATATTTTTTCTTTGCACTCTAGATGAGAATATCTGCTGCTTGGATTGAACTCTCAACCTTCTGTATGGGAGGCAAGCATTTTCATCATTAGGTCACCACACCACTCATTAATATATTTTTTTTAAAGACTGAGTAGCTACGTAATATAACAGATAATAGGAGCAGTTCTCATTTAATTCCCAAATATACAGGACAATATTCAAAATTCCAAGAAAAAGAATATTCACAATTTTGAGAACTTTAACATTGGCAAGGATGGTCAATATTGATGAAATAATCCTATTATTAAGATCACCTTCCACCTTCATATTGTATAGTAAGACAGCTAAAGAAGCAATGTGAGAAGGCAGTGCTACTAAATTCTGAGGGATCACTTGCATTGAATTACAGAAAAGTACACATATTGTAAAGGCATCCATGGTGCAAATGCTTTAAATATAGATGGTGGTATATTAATCTCATACAGGAAGTCTTTGGCTTACAACCATTCATTTAGTGGCCATTCAAAGCAGCACTGAAAAGACTTCTGGAACTTCCTGGAGGCCCATTTTTCACCCTCCCAGAGCCTCCGCGTGGGCCCTGCACTTACTTGGTATCCAAAACAGGCTGCATGGAGACTTCTAGGAGGAGCAGAGTGGAGTGGGCGGGGCCAGCCAGTCCTTGCAATTACTGGTTTGGCGAACCAGATGTAAAATTAGCATCCGGTTTGCCCAAACCAGCTGAATCACATCCCCGTCCCAGAGTCATGTAATCACCATTTGCAACCAGCTCAGCCAGCTTCTGACAAGCAAAGTTAATTGGGGGGAGCCAGATTCATTTAATGACTAAGTTTCACTTAACAACTGCAGTAATTTCCTTAACAGTGGCAAAAAAGTCATAAAATTGGGCATGACTCACTTAACAACTGTCTTGCTTAGCAACAGAATTGTGGTCCCAATTGTGGTTGTACAGTTAAGTCAAAAACTACCTGAATTCCTTCTAGTGATCCTTATTTACTTAAAATGTTAGAATGTTTTGTTTTATACATTAATACATTAACTAAACCAAAACCTGATCAATGTGTGTGCATATATAAAATCATATGCAAGAAATGGTAACAAGAAAATATGAAAACATACTAAAATATGTATCAATCAATCAATATATACATACATACAGTGCGGAAATTAGAAATTTTCAAAGGAATAAAATCAGACATCCAACCGTAAACAAACAGAGCCAGTTAATTGAAGACAGAATGGTGTGAATGATTGTTTATATACTACTTGTAAGATTTAAAGCAGTAGATTCCATGAAACAGCAGATAAATATAAACAATGACTCTTCATTGTTGAAAACTGTGGGGGCCCTGGATGAAGATACATCAGTATGATTTCTATTCCAAACTTGGTCCATATTTTCTAAGGTTCAAATGTCTATTTTTTTACTTCAGCTCAAGCTTGTTGCTTGTGCAATAGTGCAACTATCCGTAGCTCGGATGTAGGATGAGGGTGAAGGTTCATTCTCTGAGTTTGTGGGTTGGTTTCAGAAATTTCACAACATTTCATTACCAGGCTAGGTAACACCTTCAGTATCAGTGTTATTCTGTTCATAAGGGCTTCAGGTGTGGGTGTTTCAAGTGAGGGTCTTGGGATGGGTCTTGAGATGAGATTACATCAGGTCAGGGTCAACAGAGAATTGTTGTGGGGGGGGGGTCCGTGGGTTGGTTGAGGGTCAGTATTGTCTCTGATTGGCTGTTTGCCAATTGAAAAAAATAATAATGCTATCTTGAAAAATTGTTCCATCCAAACAAAACATCCATTTGTTTTTTGGTAATGTTCCTGTATTAAAAAGCAAATCAAATAGGTATATAAAAGCAAGTCACCTCTAACAAATTCACATGTTGCATTATTTTCTTAAAATATGTACAGGTATTAACTCTCCCATAGAAATCCATTGGGCAAAAGCTGGATTCCGTACAACTTCATTGCGGTTAAGTTTTCAACAACCTAGAAAGCATATCAAAAGTTTTGCAGTTCTTTTCTGGCCTCTTTTCTGGCATAACATGTTGTTATGACTATTGTCTAAATGATTTTTTTTTAAAAAAAAAAAACAAATAGCTTTACTTGACATTTGAGGTTTAAGGATTTGTGAATTAATTTGCGGGCTAGGTTTTAAAAGATTAGTAATTACTTTAGCGCAACAGACATCAAACGTAAGTAGTAAAATTCCTGTTGCATTTATATAGTTTGTCAAATCTATAAAATGATGTAAAGTGAAGTAAATGATGCAGTTTGTGTCATTTGCATAATAACATTAACACGGCTGATGTACTTTCCAATTTAATAGAAAATTGGAATAACTGATTTTTAGCGCCAGCTGCTCAAAGTGGGGCTTTCACTGCTTCCAAATATATATACAAGCCTACAGCAACTACCTCTCATCTCATTATAGAAAATTATGTAATTTGAGTCTAGTTTCTAAAAAGGGTTGTGTGACCCTTTGCAATCATAAAGTTTACTCAGTCAACCCAGATGATTAAGCTGCCATGTTATAGACCAGCTGGTTGGGGAATTCTGGGAATTGAAATCCACACATCTAAAAGTTGCTTAGATTGAGAATTGCTGCTGTACACAGATGACGATATAGATCAGGCTTGGAGAACTTCCTAAGAATTAATTCTCCTAGGAAAGTTAATGTTGAGATTATCATTTTACCATAAGAATTTAAGATGGCAGGATGGCATCATATTGGGGAAATCTCCCTCCAGGATCGCTTTGAAGATGTTATTACAAAACCCAGCTATTGTTTGAAGAGACATGCATCTTTTGAAATAGAAGAGACGTTTTTGCACTGTTAAGATAACGCTTCTTATGGTTTCAGACTTGAATCACCAACCCGATCTCTCACCATGAATGCTCCGAGAGGAATTCACATCAAAGCAGAAAATGGAGATCTTATCGGACTCTCTCATTTGGATATCGCATTCCATAGTACCAATGGGATGGTGAGATGTTAAAAGATTTATTTAACATCAATACATTTCCTATTTACAGTTGGTATTCAAGGGGAGTGATTGCTACACGAGTCAAACTATCAGTTTTAGTTTCAGGAAATAAAGATTACCACAGGGTTGAAATTCAGCAGGTTCTGACAGGTTCTGGAGAACCGGTAGCCAAAATTTTGAGTAGTTCGGAGAACCGGCCACCTCTGGCTGGCCCCAGAGTGGGATGGGAATGGAGATTTTGCAATATCCTTTTCCCAGGAGTAGGGAGGGAATGGGGATTTTGCAGTATCCTTCCCCTGCCACGCCCACCAAGCCACACCCACCAAGCCACACCCACAGAACCAGTAGTAAAAACATTTTGAATTTCACCACTGCTACTGACCTTGAAAAGTTCAGATTTGTGACAAAGGTTATTTGATCCTTTAGAAATATATAATTTATATAAAGGCTTAAGATGTTCTTAGGATATTATAAATCTCAACAGTATGCAGGAGGGGGGTGAGTGAGAGGAGACATAGGATTCAAAGGGATATTTTTTCCCTTAAATGCAGTGTTCTCTATTTAATGTTATTAATTTCCCATGTTAAAATCCTTACTTTGCCAAATGTTTCATGTCTTTAAAATCCTGACATTTCCTGCACAGAGAGATTTGAACAGTTTCAGTGAGATTCCTGTTTTGCCCAATTTGATTGAGCAGTATAAAGCTGTGGTAATGCTGAAGGGAGAGATAAAATTTAAAAAGGCAGAAATAAATTAAGGTGATTGGGAGGCTAAGGGGGAACATATTCCACCAGTTTGTCTTCTGGTGAATTAATATTTTGTAACCAGTGACACTCATTGCAGTAGCCAACTTATGAAATGGCACATCGTCTTCTTAAAATCCCATTATCAACCCTTAGAATCTCTGCTTTACCAATAAAGTCCCCCTGGATAATGCATTAGAAATGCATTAGAAATGTGTAATAGAAACTTTCTATGTGTATAAAGTATTATGCAGCCAACAAAAGGTGGTGATTGGCTTTCCAATTAAGAACAGACAATATTGTCTTCTTCATATACTGAAATAGAACACCTTGACCCAAATACTATTTCTCAGGTTGACATGTTTGTTGTGAATAAAAAAAGTGGCAAAAATATATCTCTTTCGTCTTAGAGCTCTTTGAAAAAACGGGGGACATAAATGTTTTAAATCAAGGAAAGCAGCCGCGTGCTGAAATGTTTACAATTTGGAGCACAATTCTTTTGGGTTAACGGAAGGGCCAAGTTGAAATACTTTGCTAAGTTTGTGGGCACCACCTAAAGGAAATTTACATCAACAATTTGACAGTGCTTTCAGAGTGGTTTCCCAGGCTATATATAAAAAATATTATGTTAGCTCATATTGAATAATGTAAAGGAGACTTTGAACTTTCATTTGCAAACTCATAGTAAAGCTTCCATCAAATTGCTCAGTAATGAATCAAAGGAAAGAGTGGGCCCATTCTGCCAGTGGTTTTTAAACATTTCTCTCTCCTTTATAGACTGAAGTTGTTACTGGGGGTATATTTGAAACCAATTGGATAGTTCTACCTGGTAAATGTTGTAGAACAAGAGTTCTCTCTGTTAACACTACAGCTACAAAGTAGATGTGTGTGCTTTTTTCTTGCAGATCATTGATGCTCAAAATTTGCTACTGCCAGATTTGCTTCAAGGAACAAATGGAGAATCCGGGACATCTGAAGGACTCTATGAAATTTGTGCTTGCCCAGATGGAAGGTTATACTTATCGGTGGCTGATGTAGTTTCTACTTGCTTACAACACAGTCGTGATTGTCAATAAAGCACCAGAACACAACTGGATTTCCCCTTGGCATTCTTTCTTGGTTTGTAAAACCACCAAATGGAAGATTTGGATAATGTAATTCAATTGCTTGGAAAACATGACTGATTTTAGGTTTTATCAGATATCAGGTGGATAAACATATGATTTGTCATTTGTAGCTTGCACTCCTCCTTTCTCTTCGTCTTAGGTTTCTTGATTATATTATCTTTTCTGCTTTGTTACTATGGCTTTTTAACTACATATAGTCCTCAACTTGTCTATCACAAATGGGACTGGAATTTCCATTGCCAGGTGATGCAATCATTAAGTGAATCACAACCGATTTCATGAGGTTTTTTTTTTTTGGCTGTGATCCTTGAGCAAATCATTGTGATCATTAAAAAAAATCTAGGGTCTCCCATTGACTTACTTGTTGGAAGCCCCTTGGGGAGGTCCCAAATGGTGATTATCTGATCTGAGTTATAAATACATGCTGGGTGCCAGGCACCCAAATTTTGATCACATGACCACCGGAGCACTTCAGCAGTCTTGAGTTCAAGGACCGATCGTAAATCCATTTTTCCACTGTAACTTCAAACAGTCATTAAATAAATATAAGTTGAGGACTACCTCCTGTATTTAACAAAAATTGAGTAGAAAAGAATTCAGGTCCTTGAATAGGATGCTTTCCTTTCAGTCTTATTATCTTCGTCTTTTAAGAAAACAGCCATATCCACTCGGGCAGCTATTTTATTAATCTTTTTGTTGCAGATACTTTTAATCTTGTTCACTGTGCCTGTTGAGTTTTAACAATTTAAAGTCTTGTTTAAATGAATCACCTATTTTGCTTCTGTAAGAACTCCAAGGTCATCAGTGATAGAATAGCAATTTACTGCCAAAATCTACTGATATTTTTCAGGGGATTGTTTCAAGACCTTCCTTATTTATCAAGCTTTAACAGAAATGTGAAAAAGAAACTTTGATCAATCTGCATATTTTGGTAACCTGCCAAGGGAACACCAAGATGACTAAACATTTCAATAATCCAAACAAAGAGTGTTTCAATTTAAAAATAAAGTTGTTATTTATGTTGTGTATAGGGCAGTAGGATTATGCTGTAAGCCCTATGTATTCTCATAACACTATTTTTCTTTTAGGTTTCTTCATCTTCACTCACCCCAAACCCTATCAATAAGCAGAATGCTCTTTGGGTTATCCTCTAGTAGAGTTACTAAGTGCTAGGAAACAAATGTGAATTTGTCTTGGCATACCTGACAGTGGCTATGTCTAAAGAGTTGGAACTAAGTAAGGGAACAGCAGGGAAAAAAGCTGCCAAGTTAGCTACTTTGAAATTATTCCTTGGTTGGATTTGTTAATCATTTCACAGCTACCCCCCAAACCGGTAACTAAAAATATATTTTTCGGAGTATAAGACGCTCCGAAGTATAAGATGCACCTGGCTTTTGGGGAGGAAAACAAGGAGAAAAAAATCTGCCTCTGCCTCCCAGCAATTTGCCTCCTTGCAACAAACAACAAACAATATCGATGATATACACTGTTTGTGGTGTTACATTTCAGACAATACTTGTACAGATGCTGTTAAAATTGATGCGGCTTTCTGGAAGTATAGTTATTCTCCGCTATTTAAAAGAAGATACAATAGCACTGGGCCTCTTCAGATCAAACATTTATTTTAAAAGCTTCTTCATTTTGTTAAGTTGTCTTGAACAATAATAAAGCAGTCTTTAAAAAATAAGTGTAATAATTTGAACATTCTATAGGCATTCATAGTTACTGACTTACCTCCTTGCAGCAAACAGCAAACAGCCTGATTAACACAAGAAAAAAAAATCTGCCTCTGCTTCCCAGCAATTTGCCTCCTGTAGCAAACAGCAAGTTTCACTTTCAATTTCAGCATGGGCCTCCCGATCATCAGCTGTTTCAGGCTGCAGGGATAGCCATAACCCATTGCCGCCTCCGCAAGCCCCATTTTCCCGTTTGCTGCAAGGAGGTAAATTGCTGGGAGGCAGAGGCCAAAGGGCGGGGGCCGGTGGGTGTTTGCGGTGCTACATTCAATGTATAAGACGCACCCAAATTTTCACCCTTTTTATGGGGGGGAAGGTGTGTCTTATATTCCGAAAAATATGGTAGGTATGGGAACATAGAGTGGAGGACAGGAAATGAGCTCTTCCTGGGGAAAGCAGCCTCCCCGTTTTTCCTATGTTGTGTTTCAGCCTTTGTACTCAGCCCCAAAGCCTGGTTGTGGGAGCTTTGATGACTGGGTTTTCTCTGTTGCTGCTTAATGCTGTCAGTTTGTAATAAATCCTACCTCATCCTCAATTTGCTCTCCGAGTTTCTATTGAAAATCTACAGGAAACCTCTGGTACATGTCTATCAGCATAGGTGAAGTATCATCAATACGCTGATAAAATTCAGGTATAGATCTCTTCCTCAGACTGTTCAAGTGACGTTGTCTTTTCCAGGGCCTGGAAGCTGTGAGTCTGGAAGGAGAAAAAAAGGCTTCCAGCCAAATGGTTAGGCTCCAAAAACCAAGAAAGACACCTTGCTATTCTTCTAAGCTGGGGTGTCAAACTGGTGGCCCACAAGCCGGATGCGCCATAGCAATAGCAGTTAGACTTATATACCGCTTCATAGGGCTTTCAGCCCTCTCTAAGCGGTTTATAGAGTCAGCATATTGCCCCCAACAACAATCCGGGTCCTCATTTTACCCACCTCGGAAGGTTGGAAGGCTGAGTCAACCCTGAGCCGGTGAGATTTGAACCGCCGAACTGCAGAACTGCAGTCAGCTGAAGTGGCCTGCAGTACTGCACCCTAACCACTGCGCCACCTCGGCTCAAGGGCAGCCACCCAATTAGTTGGGTGTTTGTGTGTGTGTGTGTGAGATAGAGAGAGAGAGAGAGAGAGAGAATGAGAGAGAGAGAGAGAGAGAGAGAGAGAGAGAGAG